ATTGAATTCATTGAAGGTTTGTGCTAGGTGCAGTTCAATTCCAGCCTTGTTGGCCCCACAAAGTCTTGCAGGAATGGGAATTGAAGTGAACATGTTCGAAGTGCTTCATCTTGAAACTTTGGATTTCATTCCTCACTTGAAGCATACACTGTTTTCTTTAAAGACTCTCCAAGTCTGTCTTCAGAGCTAGAAGTCAGTAGCCATGGCCTGCCTGACCCAGAGCCAGTAACAGCACAGGTACATTTAATTTAGGACAGCAAATACAGACCACTTCTGTCCATGCTACCTACAGGCAGAGCTCAGAATGGTGGAGAGAAGTGGTGGTGTGACTTGGTATTGGCACTTGCAGCCTGGAGCCCAGCAGAGTTTTGCTGAATGCTGTTCACATTTCTCAAGGGGGAATGGGTAGGTAGGAGGCCCATGTAGATGAGAAATTCACTGCCACTGAAGAAGGATGAGTGGAGTAGTGAGAAGACTGGGAACAACTAGTGTCCTGAGTTTTTCTCATTATCTTCTTTGTAGATAGTTATAGGTATGCCTGGACTTTTGTATAACTGCAATCAACAGCTTGCTGGAAAAGCTTACACTCAGAGCTGAATGAGGCATGAGACTCAGATACCTCTTGAGGGTGAAGAAAAGGAAGAATATATGTAATGTGATGAGTTCTCTTGGGGTTCTTTCTGAATATGGCACTTGCTATCTTTCAATGGGAGTCAAAATAGATTTCCTGAAGGGAAAATATTAAATAAGGTTAAAACAATCAGACCACTTGTTATACTTTTGTTCAAAGCATGTGGAGATGGACCTGAAGTGGAACCCTGAGAGAGTTTCTCATCCAAGCTCAGCTGCAGTCCGGGTGACTGATTTGAGTTGGCAAGACAAGCTGAATGCCAGTCTGCTGAGTAAAGATGATGGAGAGCTGCTTGTGGATGAACATCTTTCCCCCAGGAAACTAGTGAGTAGACATCCAACTTTTTAATGAAGTGGAAGAGGCAAACTGGCATATACAGAGCTGTATTAACTTCCAACTGCTATTGTGTTGATTGCAGATTGTTGCCTATCGGACATTTAGACTTCTGCATGAAGTAGATTCTGTCTTATGGAAATGTATCAGATGTTTGTCCTCCTTTCACCTTCTTTCATATAGAAAGTATTTCCAGCATGAATGTGGCTGTGTTCATTGCTAGGTTTCCTGAAGCAGCATGAAGAAAAGCACAGGTAGCGTCATTATAATCCAAACAGATCCCATTAATGCCATATGGAGTACCTTGAATCGTAGCATTAGGAAAAAAAAGTACATTAACTTTGTTCTAGAGATTAGAAATGTAACTTTAAGAGCACAACTTTTTTTTTTTTTTCTGAATTAGTGAAACCCTCTGTCCTGCTAAGAATCCAATTAAAATATCCAAATGGTAGAAATGTTTTATATATATATATATGTATCAAAGTTTGTGAAATTTCAGAGCACATTTGAAAATTTTATAACTGGGAGAAATTATTTTGGTGTGCAGCCTGTTGAAAGAGAGTAGCATGCTGAAATCTTCATGAAGAAACTCGCTTCGTGAAAGAGTATTTGGTTGCACGTTGTGTCATATTTGCTCAGGACAGATTAAGGGTGAAATCCTTTGGGACATGTAGGAGCTGATCATATAAGCTCCTTTTCTCTGCTAAGGGGAGGGAGAGCTGAGAGCAGAAGTTATGGGGAGAAGCTTTCTGTGTTGCAGAGCTACAGAAGAGTAGCTCTTCTGCTGGGTAGCACTCGTGGAAGATAGATGGGGCCATCAAGGCTGTGGTTAGCAGGTCAAGAGAGGTGATTCTCCCCGTCTACCCTGCTCTTGTGAGACCTCACCTGGAATACTGCACACAGTTCTGGTGTCCTCAACATAAGAAGGACATGGAACTGTTGGAGCAAGTCCAGAGGAGGCCACAAAGTTGCTAGGAGGACTGGAGCATCTCCCCTATGGAGACAGGATGAGGGAGCTGGGGCTGTTCAGCCTGGAGAAGAGAAGGTTGCATGGAGACCTCATAGCAACTTTTCAATATCTGAAGGGGCTACAGAGGAGCTGGAGAGAGACTCTGTGTTAGGAATTGCAGTGATAGGACAAGGGTTAACAGGTTCAAATTGAAGGAGGGGAAATTTAGGTTAGATACTAGGAAGAAGTTTTTCCTGTGAGGGTGGTGAGACATTGGCACAGGTTGCCCAGGTAAGCATTGGCTGCCCCAACCCTGGCAGTGTTCAAGGCCAGATTGGATGAAGCCTTGAGCAACCTGGTCTAATGTGAAGGTGTCCCTGCCCATGGCAGGGGGTTGGGAGTAGGTCTTCTATAATGTCCATTCCAACTCCTAAAATTATATGATTCTATGGTTCTGTGGTTCAGATGCTCCCAGCAGACAGGTGGTGATCGTGGTGTCCATAACCCTCTGTGTACTCACTGTGCCAGCACAGAGACAGTTGGTGCTGCAGGGAGCATATTCCAGCTGCAGGTTTACACCACTCCATAACTACATACCAGCCATCAGTTTGACCATGTGCTGTAGATTATACAGCAAGTTGTTCTCAGAACTACTCTTACCTTAGTAGATAAGTCTTTTAGTGTTTATAAAATGGTTGAGGATGAAAAAATCTCTTTCTTGAGAGTGTATATTTTAAGCATTCTGGAGAAAGATTGATACATAATTGTATGATCTATGTCATTCAGTTTCCTTTGGCTCATGAGAATCTCTGACAACTTCTTGGTCTTTTTTTAAAGTCTGGCATAGAGTTTGACCGGTCTAATGTGTTTGTGGTTTATAATACACTGTATAAATCCAATGGGAACCTCTCAGATTGGTCTGTGTTTCTAGGACATGAACCAAAGCCCATTAGAGTAATCAAAACAGCTGCCCTCTGACTTCAATAAACTCTGATTTAAACCTTTAGGAAGGTCTTTCATTGGGATGAAGTTCCTCCCTTTCTGGAGCTCTACTGCTTTCAGTTCACAGTAAATTGTAAGCAGAAAAGTGTATGTAAGGCAATGTTACCCACATCCCATGAAGTTCCTGTCCATTATTTGGTGATTTTGTTTCTAAAAGGCAGATAACAAGTTAGATAATTGACTCTTGCCTCTTTAAGTTTGTGTGTTTTAGCATTTGTAAGGAATTCCATTTCAAAAATTCTTCTAAATGGATGCTTACTGTCCTGCTAATTTTCCTGGACAGTTATTTGCTGCCCTAGAACCCAACATTTGTGTTGGCATCGCTGGGATACTTCCTGCTCAGAGGAAAAATTACATGACATTGTCAAGGAAACATTCACAGTGTTTATAGCCTGTTTTAATAACATATCCAATCTATCTCTTTTTTGACCTTTATGTTGACCAAATGGAAGAAACTGCTTCCATAAATTTATTTCCTCTGGATTTGCAAATGTTCAAAGCGTTCAGACATCTAATCTGAAATGAATTTTCAGATGCATATTTTGGTAAGGAACCACATGCCATTGACAATCAAATGGCTGGAAAAGTTGTTTTATTTAAATCAATACAGTTGCAATATCTTCTTTATTGTCTTGCTGTTGTGAATATTTTAGGAGTTATTGATTGTGCTTACTGAAGTGCTCTGAGAAGAAAACTAGTAGACTTTTAAAATACATGCTCATTAAAGTAAAGTTACTTTATATTCAAATAAGGGCATGGGCCCCAGTGTGGCATAGGCAGATTTTTGAACACCTGATGGAGGTTCCTGAGGGAGTTTTTTGTTCTGATATACATACTCACGTTTACTTCTTGCCCTGATATACATACTCATCTTTACTTCTTGTCCTTGCAATGTTCAGTTCAGTTTGGGGAGGCTGGAAGATCTAGCTGTGCAGAATCTGTGAAGATTAGGCACCTTGAATTGCAGCTTCATTTCTCCCTGCACATTTGACTGATTTTGTCCTTGCAGGAGAATGGCAGTCTACTTCGTTGTGAAAACATTAGCAGTCTCCATTAACATTCCCCTTTATTAAGAACTTTCTAAAGGAATCATAGAATCATAGAATTTAGGGGTTGGAATGGCCCTTACGGAACATCTAGTCCCAACCCCCTGCCGTGGGCAGGGACACCTCCTCACTAGATCAGGTTGCTTAAGGCTTCATCCAATCGGGCTTTGAACACTGCCAGGGCTGGGGCAGCCACAGCCTCCCTGGGCAACCTGTGCCAGTGTCTCACCACCTGTGATCACCCAAGGTGTGATACTTGTATTCCTTCACTTTTTTTTTCCCCAGTTGCTGCATTTTTCCCCCAAAGAGAAGAAGGTTTGGCTTAGACTGATTTGTTTCCCCCTGTTTCTTTTCTTTTTGCCTTCTTGGATCCTGTAGAACATAAGACAACTTCTCCAAAACCATTCAATACTTGCCCATTCTCTTCCTCTCCATAGCAGATCCCCTCACTCACACATTATGCTTGTTCACTGCAGTTTGTGGTCTTCTGTGGCCTTGTTTCAGCATAATGTCTCTTCAAATCCTGTATGATCCCAGAGCCACATTTTGTTGATCACATCTTCTAGTTTCTGCTTGCTGCCAGCTCTCTTGCTGTGCTATCATGTAACACCCTTTTGTATTTGAGTGTTCTTCATCCAAGCTACAGGTCAAAAGCTTTTGATGCAAGGGTTGATATTATTAGATATCCTTTTTATTCTTTCTGCTAGTATAAATGTCAGTTTTCTGTTGTACTCTTTAATCTTCATCTATATGAATAGGCATTTTTGCTTTTCCATTTGTACCTGTCCTATTAATATTTCCAGCTCCCTGCTCTGCCTGTCCTTATGCTTATGTGTTGTTGCCAGATGTTGTAGAATACATCAGGTTGAGGAATTTGGGGTTGTTCAGCCTGGAAACGAGAAGTTTGTGTGGAGAACTCACAGCAGCCTATCAGTATCTGAAGGGGCTACAAGGGAGCTGGAGAGAGACTCGTTGTTAGGAGCTGCAGTGATAGAACAAGGGACAGAGTAAGTGTCTGTGCAGACTACAGAAGTCAGCAAGTAAGTGTTTTCCTGTGAGGGTGCTGAGACACTGGCACAGGTTGCCCAGGAAGGTGTTGGCTGCCCCAACCCTGGCAGTGTTCAGAGCCAGGCTGGATGGAGCCTTGAGCAACCTGCTCTGGTTGGAGGTGTCCCTGCCCAGGGCAAGGGGTTAGGATGAGATGATCTGTAAGATCCATTCCAACTCCTAAAATTCTATGAACATCAGTGTGAGCAAATTCTCACGTTCTGAAACCTGGCTAATAATGGGCAATTAATATTTAACTCTATTAGGGCTGTGGCACAGATTTTTCATTCCATGTGGAGAAACTGAAATTAAGGGCACCACCTGGCTTGGATCACATTTTATTTTTTCCTATTAACCCCCATCCTCTCCCCACTGTCTGTGAAGGATCTTTTCCTGACTTTCACAAACAGCATTCCACTGTTCAGAAAAACTAATTTTACAAGGTCAAATGACCTTTCAGATACTGTGGCATTATACAAACCAATCTAGTTTGTGTGTCATCTTTAGAGAAGAAAGGAAGTATTCTCTATTTTGCTATTTATTGATCCTGCTCCAACTAATCATGTTTTCTAAAGTCAGGAACACATGTTCGGAAGTGGTGTTTAGTTTTGCTGCTCAGGAGGTTAGGGTGTAGTTCATGTGGTATGCACTCATCCTCATGGGGAAAAGAAAATGCTGGAGGGTCCTGGAACAACAGATTGGATTCTTACTGAAATGACTCAATCATTTCCTTTTTCCTTTCACAGAAAGTTTTCCTCTGAACTGTAAGCTAAATGGATTTGAGAGAAAAACCGGAGATCAAGAAAGTGCAAAACCTTGATAAATTAAGTAGAGTCAAGGGGATTGAAGTAACTGATTGAATTTGGAGCTGCTGAATCCTTCACTGGAAGTGTATAAAAGTTTTGAGGGGTCCTCTGGAGGTCTTTCAGTTCGATCTTCTGCTCAAAGCTCAGCTAGTTTCGGAGTTAGATCAGATTACTCGAGGTAGCAGATAGTAAAGGTAATGCTGTGAACAGGAAGAAAATTACAAAGCCTCATTTAGTTTCTGAGCTTTCCTTTTATATGTTCTTATCCCAGCACTAATACCTTTACTGCAGTGAAGGCTTGTGGTGTTAGACTAGTGCTCATCCTGCTACTTAGGCATCTGATGTTTCACACTCAAATTGTCACATCAGGAATCTTTATATGCATATGCATATGCATATGCACACATATGCATGCTTTTATATGAAAAAACCCCACAATAAACCAGATTGTCATTTCCTACAGTCACAGCTATTCCTTCCTACAGTCCATAAAATGGCAGATTACAGTGCTGAGTTTTGCATGTTCAGTGGCACAACACTGAGCAATGATTGTAGCTAAATAGGAAGAAGAAGTAATATTGGAGTATGACTTTTTTATATCTATTTGAGAGAAAATAAATTCTTAAAACTAATCTAAGCAAAAAGGGATGTAAGAAGGTTTGTTATCCTGTCCACATCTTGTTAATTCAGCACATAGTTAAAACTGAGGTTTTTCCCCCTCCTACAGAAGTGATGCTGATCTGAGAGAACAGTAAACCTCCCATATCATTTCTGGTGCCCCATGTGCCCTTTGAAGTTTGCAACAGTTAGATCAGACCCTTAACACCGGATCAAAAAAAGGTGTCAGAACTGTGAATCCTCAGCATGAGTCAGTGAGGAGCTGAACTGTAGACAGCAAGACTAGGCAAGGCCCTATCCATGTAGATCTGCTGACGTGACTTGGAGGCTTCGGCACCAGAATAAAGACATCTTTACTAATGCATCCACCACTGCTTAAATTTCATAATTACTGCCCTCATCTGCACGTTTCACACAAGCCAAGAAAATCTCTTTTTATAGAGCCTAGCTAATCTCTTCATCTGATCTGAGAGAAGAATGTATTTGTATGTATATGCAGAAAGTACTGAAATACAGCTAAATATTGTAATTATGGGCATCTGCAGCATTTAGCCATTTTGAAAGGAAGTTTGCATATGGGACCACAGAGAAGTTCTGTTCCCTTTCATTGAAAATCCTCTGACTTAGAATCACTTAAAGCCTGTTAATGTTCTAGTAATTTTCTTCTTAGCCGAAATATTTTGTCATACTTTTATCAACTTTTTTTTTTTTTTTTGTGAGGGAGAGATTATACTTGAGTTGGGAATTTGAAAAAAAAAAAGGCAACGAACACATGAATGGACATGAATCTAGTATTTGCATACAGGTGTAGTATTAAAAGAAAAGAAGCTCACCGCTTGGGAATTGCTGTCTCAGCCAAATTAACCAGGATCAGCAAAATAACTGCACAGCTGGAAATGTTTCTCTGAAAGCTGCACGCAACATTCTCTTCAGCAGCACACCTACTTTTCTTAGAGCATGTGAAAGTCTGGGGGAGAGAGAAGATATGAGTTGTACACAACAGTTTTAATTGAACAGATATTAATTGCCAATTAAGGAATTTACAGATAGTTGCAAGACTTGCAAGTTGGGACTTGAGTGGGATTTCCCAGCACCCCCAGGTGACTGTTCTGCCCATTGGGAAGCTCTGCAAGCACTGAAATATTATTCTGCTGCAATTTCTTGCAGAATGCTTACTGGGTGTTCTTGTCAGCCAGAGGAAAAGCTTTCTAAACGAGTGCACACACTCCAGTTAGATACTGGCCAGACATTTTGCATGGTGGGAATGGTTTGTGAGCTATCGTGGAGTTGCTTCTTAAAATACTTCGTAAATTATTTACCAATCGTTTCTGTATAATATAATGAAAAATGGTTTTACTCCTCTTTTGAAGAAGGTGAAAAATGTATATCTAAAATAACTCTGAGTATCTCCAGCTCTTTGTCTAGATCAGATCCTTGATCCCTTTTTGTTTGCTCTAGGTGAAGGCTGACCAGCTGTAATCAGCCAAAGAAATACATAGACGGTACAGGACCTTCATGTCTTGTCAGCATTCCTGGGGCACAGATGAAGAAACATTCTGTCCCTGGCTGTCAAAAGAGCCCATTTTGCTGTGGGCAGGCAGTCATTACCTGCAGCCACAGTGGGACACCTCTGAATTAGGGCAGAAGCCTGTCCTAGACCTGGGATGGCCCTAGGGATGAAGAGACGCAGAGCACTGTCGCATCACTTCTATCCACATGGTGCCAGACATCTATCTGTCCAAGCTGATGACCCTTTCAGTGTGCTTGGCCATGATTTTTTTCCCCTTCTGCTACCCAATAGCAGCAAAATTCTTCCTGGATAACCCTCCTTTCAAATTTTTATGAAGTTTCCTGTGCTTTGACATTAAATAACAGCATAAAAAGGAGATCCTGCTAAATATGCATCATCTTTGTTTGAATGTTTCCATGCCCTTCCCTAAATCTTCCCCATTCCTGGTGTCAGAATTTTAGCTGTGACAGGAGAGCTATCACACTTTCAGCTGCACTAGTATACCAAGAATGGTGTCTGGGGAGTAGTAATGTCCTAAAGATCTTCCACAGGAACCACTCACCACATAACCTTCTCTTGAACTGCTACCCTGGTCTTTTGCTCCCTGACTAGCTTGCAGTGAATACCTGGGCTCTCTGTGCTTCTGGTACCTTTAAATAAGCTCATATCCTCCACCTGAGAGCATTTCTCATTTCCTTCATGTACTGCACTAACTTTTGCATCCCACAGCAAATTGGTTACAAGCTCTCCAAACATCTCGGCATCAGCAGATGGAAGGACAGTGATTTTCACAGAGACTCTTGTCAAAGCAGAACAGGGAAGTGGGCACCAAGCATGTATGGAGACTGTCACATCTGTTTAGCACATGCTTCAAGGCAGCTATCTATAGTTCAAAGAGCTGGTGTTGACAGCCAATAACCCTTTCCAGTGCTGGAGCCACAGCTCTGCCTGTCGCAGTACAAAAATATGGATGTGCTAAGCAGCTCATCTCTCAGACAGTGAAAAAAGTAGAAATGGTGGATCTGGAAGAGGAAAAGGAGGGCAAAGAATCACACTGGTAATCCCTGGTATGAGGAAAAATGAACAGGGAACCCTAGAAGAGGGGAGAATATAACTTTATGCAGCTTTTATGCTTGGATTTTGAAAGAGATGAACAGGGAGCAGAACTGTGAAAGGAGGCTGTCTGGAATGCAGCAGGGGGAAGGACAGCATGCAGGAAACTTGCAGACAGCAAAGGAGAAGAGGACAAAATGGGAGCAAAGGCTCCTTGTGATGTCAGGACCTTTTGCTACTCTACTGACGAAGTGTACAACCCTCAGCTTATTACTTCTTCTGAGACTTCTTCCTGTCCTGTCTTCTAATTATGTAGGTTTTGATGGGGAGCAGGGAGGTATTTTTCAGAAGTAGCTTCCTTCAATGGCAGTAAGCTTGCATCCAAATCCAGCGATCCGAGTGTGTGGTTGTGTGCCAGGACATCAGCTAGCTCTCATTTCACACATCATCTTGTGCTGTATGACAGACAGCATCATCTGCTGAAAAGGGTTACTGCAAAATGTGTCTTGCAGTGAGAGATCTTGTGTTTACTTGGGGGGAGAAAGCAGTCTGTAGTTGGTAAGCCTGCTGCCTTTGCTGGAGCCAAACACAGTTTGTGGTGGCTGCAGCTAAGGATAGAAAGTAAATTTTTGGATGCCGTTGGGGACTCCCAAGTTTTCACCTTAGGTCTTTGTTTCTCATACTCTAGTGGGAAGGCAAGAAGGTCTAGGAGCCTTCTCAGGTTCAGCCTGAGAATCACAGTTTAAAAAAATGAGATTAAAATTAATTTTAAACATAATGTTTGAAAGATAGTTCAAAAGCAGTTGAAGATATCGGGTAATTCTGTTTCTTAGGAGTCCTCTTTTGACCTGCTGCCCACACTCCTTTTGATGCAGCCGAAATTTCCTTTGCCAAAGGAATTTGTAATTCTTTTAACTAGTCTTGGCTTCTTTCAGAAAAGTGAGCTGCTTGAGCTAAAATCTCATTTCCTTTTCATTGGTTTGGGCTAAAATGCTAAACTGTGTTTTGCTGAGTTCAACTACCTGGTGTCTTTTTGATTACAGGTAACACTTAAGGGTAACACTTTCTATCTGCTGAGGACTAGTGCAAGACTTGTGCAAATCTAAAAGCATGGACATATTGTTTAAATTAAACTAATTGGCTTGTTGTTGAGTTGCAATTTGACTTTAACCCTCAGCCTTGACTCTTTAAGCAATGTATAAGCTATGGGAGACTAGAATATTTTGGAGCTATGAGGAAGAAAGATCTTTGAACACTGAATTTATTTCAATACAATTGCACATCTAGCCATATTGACCTGAAGTATATATTGACAAAACAAGTGATTGAAAGCATTTCTATACCTTTTTGCAGCTGTGATATCTGGTTAATTGCATGAGAGTACACATACATCTCTGCTTATCTTTACAGAAAGTTTTGACAGGAGTTGATGATCTGCAGCAAGTGAAGGCTCTAGAGATGCGAGTAGATACAAGAGAAAGCACCTTGGGAAACTTTGGTAAGAAAACAATTTTTCTTCTGTTCACCCTCTCAAATTTTCCTTTATCATGTCTTGGCCTGGGAACTCAGTAACCCACAGCCAGTGTAAAGTACTGTCCTGCTCAAGAGCTCTTGAAACATGATCTCCCTAGTACCTCACACTCCTTGATCTCTGTTTTCTTGTGACTGAAAACTATGACAAGGGGATGAGTGACACCACTTCTGTCTAGAGCAAATTAGTTTGAACTAATTTTTCTTTCGGGATATGCTTCTAGTCCCTAAATGATCTTTTATTTACTGATTAACTTGTCCTCTAGATGACTTGTATCTAGCAAAACAGTAGCCAAAGGTCAGCTTCCCTCTACTGTAAGATTTCCTTGTGACTGAGAATTGCCATGAGCCAGGCAGCTCATGCTGTCAGCAGCCTCTTTTTGCATCTTGTACTACCTCATTGAGCTGTACTGGAAAATGTGTTGGAGAAAGATCCTGTAGGTACATCATTCTGATGGGCCACAAACAGCCCTAATCCTTGTGCTTCATTTCTGTGTAATCATCACTGCACCAGGGAAGTCAAAAGTACAAAGGAATTTCTTCTGTAGCAGAGTTAACACTGAGAATATGAACCTTCCTTTTTTTTCCAGTACTACCAGTCATTTTCTGTCATGTGGATTCCTACCACAACCCAGTCCATCTTCTGCTACATTGAAGCTGAGTAACTACTGTAGAGTAAGATTTGCTGTGCTAAAAGGAGCCCCCAAAAGTGGGTGCTGGTATTTTCAGCCAAGCAGTTCATTTTTCATGTGCAGGTGAATATAATGCAACAGCTGATTAGCTTTAATGGGTCTTTTGATGTTGATTTGTTAAGAATGTTTAAGCACGTGCAGCAAAGAGAGCTTTAGTCTTGAATTGTTTAGCCACATTTCATTGGTTATTCTGTTCATTTCCATAAACAGGTCTCTTTCTGATAGGTACTTCATAATTTAAGGTTAATTCATAGAATCATAAAATGGCTTGGGTTGGAAGGGACCTTAAAAGTCATCTACTCCCAACCTCCCTGTCATGGGTGAGGACACCTCCCACTAGACCTGCTTGCTCAAAGACCTGTCCAGCCTGGCCTGGAACACTTCCAGGGATGTGGCATCCACAGCTTCTCTGGGCAACCTGTGCCAGTGTCTCACCACCCTCTGAGTAAAGAATTTCTTCCTAACATCTAATCTTAACCTGCTCTCTTTCAATTTGAAGACACTCCCCCTTGTCTTATTACAACAGTTCTTGACAAAGAGTCCCTCTCCAGCTTCCCTGTTAGGCTCCCTTCAGATACTGAAAGGCTGCTATAAGATCTTCACACAACCTTCTCTTCTCCAGGTTGAACAGCCCCAACTTTCTCAGCCTGTCAGTTGCCATATCAACTTTGTGGCCTCCTCTAGTCTTTCTCCAACAGTTCCATGTCCTTCTTATGCTGGGGACACCAGAACTGTGTGCAGTACTCCAGGTGGGGTCTCATGGGAGCAGAGCAGGAGAATCACATCCCTTGACCTGCTAGCCACACTCCTTTTGATGCAGTCCGGGATTCAATTGGCTTTCTGAGCTGCATGCACACACTGCTGGCTCATGTTGAGTTTTTCATCAGCTGTCACCTCCAAGTCCTTCTCTGTAGTGCTGCTCTCAACCACTTCTCCTCCCAATCTGCTGTGACCCAGGTGTAGGACCTTGCGCTTTACCTGGTTGAAGTTCATGAGGTTTGAATTGTTCCACATCTCAAGCCTGTCAAGGTCCCTCTGGATGGCTCATCCCCTCCCTCCAGCTGTGACTGCCCCACACAGCTTAGTGTTATCAGAAAACTTGCTGAGGGTGCACTCAATTCCACTGTCCCTGTGTGTGTTGAACAGTACAGGCCCCAACACCAAGCCCTCAGGGACACAGCTTGTCACTGGTCTCCACATGGACAATGAACCATTGTCTGCAACTATTTGTTTGTGGCCATTCAGCCAATTCCTTATCCATCAAGTGATCCATCCATTAAAAAAAAAAAACAAGAAAAGAAATTACATCAGTTTATTTCTGAGATCATAATCTATTCAGTCATGGTTCCTCCAGTTGATAAGGAAATCTCATTATGTTGTATCTACAATGCTCAAAAGTGGTGCTCCCATTCCTATGCCATTTTACATTAGCTGTGTCAAGCTAGCAAAACATTTCACCTTTTTCATTCTGTACTTCTCTTTCATTTCCATTACTGGAATAAATCCCTTTCTTTCTCCTCACCATAGTTAGGCTTTTGCAACTCTTACAGAATACAGAGCACTATTCCCATGCTGCAAACAATTTCCTTTTTGTTTATATCCCACTGTTGCACCAAGTGTTGGCCCTTGAGGGCCATAAAACCCAGAAGCTGCAGGTCCCCACTGCTTTTGAGACTATAACATCAAGACCATCCTGAATTTCCCTCTGTCTTTTTTTAAGGTGGTTTTTTTTTTTTTTTTTAATTTAACTGCATTGCTGAATTTCCTCCCTGTGAAAATCTCTTTGCAAATGTCACCAGGTAGCTAGGGCAGAAAGTTTGCTACTTAATGCTTTCAGTGATCTTCAGTTTCTTGAAGATTTTTTTTTTCACATGGCAGATGATTTTTAGGTGCATGGAATAAGGCTTATATTTATAGGGATATGGCAGAGCATTTTACACCTTTGATGTGAATGGTGTAAGCAGGGCTGCTGTTGATGGTGTCGAGCCCATCATGAAGATGTCATGCTGGCTCCCTGCCCCTGAAACTGTGCTGCTATCCTGGCCTCTGGTC